CCGGGTAGTGAAGGAATCAGTTCAACAGTTCGTCGTGGTTTTGGGGGGGGAAGGAACCTTTGAAACACGGATAAACACCACACAGCCGTGTGTGCAAAGCACCTGTTTTGGTAGGAAAAACATGTGCTTTTAGTTAGGTTTCAAAAGTTTTGAAAAAGGTCAGTTTCAAGGGAGAAAGCATTCCTTTCCAAAGCGCGTGTGCGGATGATTTTTGAAAGTGTGTGTGTGTGCGTATGGTATCATCATCTTCCAAGCACATCCAACCGAACGTATTTGTCCCCCCAACCCCACCTTGCCCACCCCCTATCTTCCAAAAGTGTTTGTGCATGTGGCATCATCTTCCAAGCATATCACGAAAGGTAGCCCTTAAGGGGATACCAAGAGTTTGTCTTGCGAAGCAAGTGTTGGCGCGTTCGGGTCTTTAATAATTGATCATTCAATTCAACCCCCCCCCGCCCCCCGGGCAATTGATTTTTCAATACCGACCCCCCCCCCTCTCTAAATTCAATTCTCTCCTGGAGAACGTTTTCGTGAGCCTCTCATGATTTCAGGATAGTTGAAACCCTCTTGAACATTGAGAAAGAGTGCGTATGATATTCTAATCACGAAAGGTGTTCCCTGAGGGGATACATACCTAGAGTTTGTTTTGTGAAGCACGTCAATTCTCTCCTGGAGAACGTCTTCGTGAGCTTCTTATGGTTTCAGGATAGTTCAAATCCTATGATGCTCCGATTCAATGCTCACTGATGCTCTGAGCCATGGGGCAAGTTTGTTTTCCTAAGAATCTTTTTGAACATTTCGTTCGCATATGTTTGAACATTTAGAGTGCATATGAAATTATATTTACGAAAGGTCGCCTCCGAGGGGATAAATCACCATGTTGAACATTGCATTTTTGTTCCTGCCTCTCGCGTTCTCTTCTCTTCCCGCGGTCCTACCTTTCGTGTCTCCCTCCTCTCAAGTCCAACGCACTACCACCGACGAGTAAAAAGAATCCAACATGCTAGGGAATTCCAAACAGAACCGTGAACAAGTAGGAAGAAGAAAGAGGTTGCCCGCATTCAACATAACAAAACGCGGCCGGTTAAAGTGACATGTATAATTAAAGGCTAAGTTCTTCAGTGCCGTGGTTTCATTAAAAGCACCACAGAGCGCACGACGAACTAGCAATGTTGTCAACGCCGGCATTGAAATTCCTTTGCCCCCTAGTGGCCCTGTGGAAACCGAGCGTTCACTCGCGGTAGCGGCTACGGGGTCGGTGACACCGAGCTTTCTTGGTTTTCGCTACGGCGTAAGACCCGGTGTTGTTTGCTTGTATGAACTGGGTGACAAAAGCTGAACCAACCCTGGTACCAAGCTTGTTAATGGAAATCAAGCTTGTTTTGGACCAAAGCAGCTATTTCCAATGTTTAAGCTGTGTTTGTGGTTCAATCCATGTAATACATGTAATACATGATGTAGCCTAATTCCTTGGAAGTCCAAATGATCCCTAATGGGACACCCCTCCATTGGCTGAAAGTGTTTATGAGACGATCAGAACACTAGGGATCACCTGAGTGACCTCTAATTTTGGACCACCAACCACCCAAAATATGGTCAGTTCCTATCAAAGCAGGAGTCAATTGGGTTCGAGGTATTCATTGAACCATCCCAGGCTGTACCCAGAAGTCAGAGCTTCAATCCCTGGGGTTAAGCACACCAACAAACGCCTCAAACATCGCATCCAGGGTGGCCCATTTTTTGAGTGAATGTATTTAGTGTCCATGCCATTCTCATGTTTCACAAAAAATCCGAGTTGGCCCTAGCTCGCTTGGCTGCCAGGAATAGACCTGCAAGTGTCCGATTGCGTCACCGGCAGAGAGCTTTGCCAGATGATCTATGCCCGGCTCACGTCAAAAGCAGGTGCCCCTGCAGTGGTGCTGCAGCATGGAGATGAAGTGCTCTCCTTGGAGAAAACTCTGAAGTGAAGGAGCAACCTTTCGGCGCGATTCTGCACAATGTTTGTTTTTTGGGGGCAACGCTTTCTTGCATGCTATCTAGGTTGTATTTTGTTGTCAATGTATATGGACTATGGACATTGTTTTTCATTTATCATGTTTAGTAGTGTTTAATTATATATATAATATATAACCTGTTATGTCTGCCCCGAAGGACTCCGGACTCGAACAAACTGCCCACGTGACGTATGTGTACATCCGTGCCAGCTTGCATGAGGCCTGGAAGGCGCTTCAAGGCTTGCCAGTTGCCGATGAAGAAAGTGCGTTGGCAGGAGTGAGACAGCTGAAAGGAATCAGCACTTTGACTCAGCTGCGAAGAATTCATGAAACCCTTGAACACTTGACTTTTGGCTGGGCGTTCCAAGAACGACTACAAGGAGTGACGCTTCCAAGTTGCCTCCAGAGTTTAAGATTTGGTGGCTGTTTTAATCAGAGTTTGGAGGGGGTGACTTTGCCCATCAGCCTCCAAACTCTGACGTTTGGATACTACTTCAACCATGATTTGATGAACGTAAAATGGCCCGGCAGTCTGCAAAGTCTGGAGTTTGGTTGCAACTTCAATCAGAGTTTGGATCTTGTGAATTGGCCAGAGAGCCTTCAGAAATTGACCTTTGGTTACCAATTCAATCAGATGTTAAAACATGTGACTTGGCCCAGCAGCCTTCAGACTTTGAATTTTTGGCGAGAAATTCAATCAGACTTTAGCTGGTGTGACTTGGCCAGACAGCATAGAAACGATGACGTTTGGCATTGATTTCGACTGGAGCTTGAAAGGTGTCATTTGGCCTTTGAACCTCCGGTTTTTGAAGTTTGGCAACTGCTTTCGACAGAGTTTGGAAGATGTTGCATGGCCATCACAGCTCACCAATCTACAGTTTGGCTTCAGATTTAACCCATCTTTCCAAGCTCTCCTTTGGCCCGACAGCCTCCAGAATCTGACCCTTTGCATGAGTTCCAACCTGAATGTGAAAGAATTGATATGGCCCCAGATGCTGAGCAGCCTCACGTTTGGCGATCGCTTCAATCAAAGCTTGAATAGTGTGGCTTGGCCCCGCAACCTCCAATGTTTGGTCTTTGGCGCACGCTTCAACCACAGCTTGGAAGGTGTCACTTTGCCCACTGGTCTCAAGAGTTTCGGGCACCATTTCAACCAAAGTGTGGAAGGTGTGGTTTGGCCCCCAAGTTTACACACTCTGATTTTTGGATGTCACTTCAACCAGCAGTTGCAAGCTGTGACTTTGCCGGACGGCCTACAGAATTTGACATTCGGAGACGATTTCAACCAGAGCTTGAAAGGTGTAATATTGCCCAACGCTGTCCGGAATCTGACTTTTGGTTTTAGGTTTAACCAGAGCTTTGACGGTGTGGTTTGGCCGGACTGCCTTTGGCATTTGAAGCTTGGTAGAAGCTTTGACCAGACTTTGGAGGGTTTTACTTGGCCTAACAAGCTGAAGCATCTCGAGTTTGGCGAGCAATTCAACCAAAGCTTGAAGGGTGTGATTTGGCCCGACAGTCTGCAGAGTCTGAGGTTTGGTGGTCGCTTTAGCCAGAGTTTGAAAGGAGTTACTTGGCCCAACAGCCTTGAACACTTTACATGTGGCAACAACTTCAATCAAAGTCTGCGCGAGGTGACTTGGCCGGTTGGCCTCCAGAGTTTGACGCTTGGCATGAATTTCAACCAGCGTTTGGAGGGTGTCCCTTGGCCTGACGGACTTCAGAATCTCACCGTCTTGAACACTCGTTGCAAAGACTATTTGGAAGGTGTCACTTGGCCAGACAGTCTCACAAGCCTACGTTGCCCATGCCCGCGGATGCGTTCCTCGCCAAGATTCCACCGTGACTGTTATCTTTTCTTGAGCCTGTGAATGATTGGTTCATACGCCGGTGGAAAAGATAAAAGATTGCGCTGGCAGTTTATGGAAAAAGATTAAAAAAGTAAGGTATAGAAATCCAAACGACAGATGATACATTGTTAAATTCAATCTTTAGCTTCCTATGTCGAGGGGAGATGGCAGGGCTCAACTGATTCATTCTATTCCTCAGAAGCCAATGTGCGGTGTGGATGAATGATGATGAATGCGGTACTGGGAGCACTCGGTTTGGCACTTGGTTTGGCTATGTCGATCACAGGAACAAGCTGGATCCGAACAGACATCCCGAGCTGACCAGGACCAGAGACCAGCCCAGCCTTGAAGGCCCGGTCACGGTCGGTCATTCGAAGGGTTGCTGGCCATCGGTGTTCAAGGGGGTGCTTTCAATGAATCATTAAAATCATCATTGTTACGATTAAGATTAATCAAATGAATCATTGGGGGTGCTTCCTCGTATTTTCACTTAAAATCGTCACAATATCTCATCGATCCACATATCGCGAAGGCAGGGCGAACCGTTCGTCGAACCCAAACCGACTCATGCGCCATGTGCGAGTGGATCATCTCTGGTGCCATGTGCGACTTCTTTGTGTGCTCATCTCCATCACCGCTGATCGAAGGCGAGGCGACCGGACCGCCGAAGGTGAAGGTGGGAACGGCCGAACCGAGGGACACAACCCCTGGAAGAGCCAGCAAACCCCCCCCCCCCAGAGGTCGTCATGTTGGGATCGGGGTGTGCAGACCAACTCGGACCAACTCGGTGGCATCTGAACTGGTCGACATACCGTCGGATGTGTTTGGTTCGCGTGGCCGTCGTGCCGGTGTTCACCGCCACCGGAACCGGACGACGGTTTGGAACCGGGGCGGTTGAATCGTCTCGTCGAAACCGGGGCGGACCGGGCGAGGTGGACTCCAAGACTCCGCCTTTCTGGACCACTTTTGACCTGGAAACATGGGACACAGAAGGCATCAGAAAGCAAGGACCATCATATACGTATACTAACTTAAGGGCACGGTATTTTTGGTTGGAGGGGCCACACAGACGACGACTATTGTAAGTAGATATCCGACATGTGTTCTACAGCAAAAAGACATCCTGCCTGTGACAGCTTCTTCTCGCCTGGCTCGTGCCATGTCGGAGAGCTACAGGGAAGCTTCTGCAAGCCTTTTGCAGGTCAAGGTCGTTGGCCTAGATGGTGCAGGATTTCAGGGTCAAAGTCATGATTTTGTCCATTGCTCATCACAGCTACACCACTTTCTTTGGATGGATTTATCACGATTTATCTAAGGTATGGGTGCTCCAGTCCCGTAAAAATCCTGGAGCCTTTTCAAACCTAACCCACAGTGTGTTACTTTACGCCCCTGCAACGATCCCTCCCTGAGTCATTTGACATCCATGGAGGTCGGGGGTTCGCTTGTGAAGAGCGATTTGGATCGCTTGTGCCTCGTTCTATTGCCGCTGGTGCGACAAATCCTCTTTCCCCCCAGCGGCTGTTTGTACAACTTGTTTGTGCCTGAAAAGAAATCTCTAGACTTGCTTCTCCACCATCCCGCCCAAGATAGTGTGCCCAAGATAGTCTCGAAAGTCTTTGCAGTTCAATTTGTTGTAGAAAGCGACTCCCTACCCCACTTCAAGACCGGAATGTGACATGTTAACCGAATGCTGTAGTGACAGCACCCCCCACCACCGCACCTCACTTCAAAAATGGAATGTTTCATATGTTAGTCAATGTCAACACCGGACTAATCAACCCGGGCCCCCCCATTCAAGGTCAACAAGGTCTGAGATTGGAGGTATTGGAGGACCACATCCCCTTAATAAAGATGATGACCTGATGATGGATGATGGTTGATGGGATTCTGAGACAATGGTGGATCAGAAGACTTATCAGTTTCACCATGGACCAGAAGATATAGGAGATTAGCTTTAAAAAAAGTAATGTAAACAATACTATATTTTTTTTGTTCTGGGGTGGCAGCTGGGATTGATTAATAGGGGGAGGTTTCTGCCCAGGAATAGTGTGATGCCAAGGTGGATATCTAGGTTTTTAATTGGGGGTCGAGCTGGGATTGATTAATAGGGGGTGGTTACTTAATCCTTTGTGCGCAGTACTGTAATCGAAGTGAAGGTCATGACAGCCCCACCCCACCGATCCACTTCAAGACTGGAAGAATGATTGGATTTACGTTGCTCGAAGTGCACGTCAGTACCCCTTTTCATTTTTTGCAGCTCGCGTTCCTTAAGAGACCCGGTTCTCCCGCCATGGAACCCCGGGGTTCAACTCCCGCAGTGAGAGCCGGAGACCGAGTGTTTGGTTGATCAGGCCTAAACCGCCCATTGGCGGTTTGACCTCGTTCTATAGAAGAATGGTGTCAAAGAACCCAACACAAAAAACTTAAGAACAACATGTTCTTTGTAAAGAAACGACGCGGCTTACGGCGTGCTTTGCCCCCATACTAAGTTAGTCATAAAACATGTCATCACATATCATCACTCTTAAAGAGCAACACCGATCCTTCGATTTCCTCGTTGGCTCCAGGACTGGAGGTCGCCGTGCCAGAAGACCTTACCGGCAGTGAGCTGCAAGAGATCATCCGTGCTCGAGTCGCCTCCAAAGCGGGTGCCCGAGTCGTTCTGCAGCATGGATCTGAACTGCTCTCCTTGAAGAAGCCCCTGAAGGAGCCCTCTTCCTCGCGATGTCGCGTCGCATGGGTATTCGCTTGAGTCGTTGAAGTCGCGATTGTTCCCTGATCTGAACCAATGTTAGTCTCATGCTCCGTGCTCCAATGTTAGTCTCATGCTCCTCTTCCTCACTCACTCTGACCGCTTCTACGGTTGGCGCAGCCTGGCGAACCATTCCTTGCCATGACCACGTCGACAGGAACTGCGCAACCGTGTGTCAAAAAGAGATGCAATTGAGGCCAGATGAAATGCCAGTATATACAGATCATGCCTGCTCAGATGTCAGGCAGTATGTCAGGATGGATTGTCAGTCGGTGCATGTGTCCTTCCTTCTTCCAGATCACTTCACAGGGGTCATGCGTAGAATGGTCTTTGTCGAAGGATATTTGAGGTTGTTTTGTTCACCTGCCATGGGAGATAGAATGGCATAATGGCATAATGGATTGGATTGCTTAGTTCTGTACAGGTTTCGGTTGGTTTCGGAATGTCAGTGTTGGCACGAAAAAAACACTAAAAACACTAAACATGTTGTTTGTTCTGTCCTCCGCTGTGATGGGCTCATCCAGTGGTGTACAGAACATTTTTCGGGGTGTACCCAGACGCTCCATGTATGCCATGTTTGCCTACCTTATTGGGTGGATTTGGGGGGTCCATGTCTATTCCAATCCCATGGAGTGGGTTATAGAAACAGATGGCCTATTGATGCCAGAAGTTGTTGAATTGAGCTCCTTTCACACACAGTCGACCCCTCCAGGAATCCTTTGGAGATGACAGAGCACATCCTCAAGTGACCTATCTTTACTTGCCAGGTGGCTTGCAAGAGGCTTGGAGATTCCTGAAAGGCCTGCCAGTCGATCATCCACCGGGTGCTTTAGAAGGAGTGACTCAACTCGAATGGATTCACGACGTGAATCAGCTAAGGCACCTTCCAGAGAGCCTTCGGAGTCTCACACTTGGTGATGGATTCGGGCACAGCTTGAACGGGGTGACGTGGCCCCATAGTCTTGAGAAATTAAAGTTTGGAATGCAATTCAACCAGAGCTTGGAAGATGTGACTTGGCCCAACAGCATCCAGAGTTTGGTCTTTGGCCAACAGTTCAATCAGAGTTTGAAAGGTGTCACTTTCCCCAGCAGCCTTGAGAATCTGACTTTTGGTGAACGTTTTGACCAGAGTTTCGAAGGCGTTACACTACCGGACGGCCTGCAGCATCTGACGTTTGGTCGCAGATTCAAGGGATTGAATGGTGTGAGTTGGCCGAGTAACCTTCAGAGCCTGACATTGGGCGATCTATTCAATCAGAGTTTGGACTGTGTGATTTGGCCAGACAGTCTCCAGAGTTTGACATTTGGTTTTCACTTCAATCAGAGTTTGGAAGGTATGACTTGGCCACGCAGTCTTCGAACCTTGACATTTGGCAGTTGCTTCAATCAGAGGTTGCAAGGAGCGAGTTTACCCAACAGCCTGCAGCATATTCTCTTGGGCGACAAATTCAACCAGGGTTTGGAAGGGTTGATTTGGCCCAAGAACCTGCAAAATCTGACATTTGGTTCCAAGTTCAACAGAAGCTTGAACACTGTCGAGTGGCCCCACACCCTCTGCAAGCTGACCTTTGGCAGTAGCTTCAACAAGAGCTTGGCTGATGTGAATTGGCCAGACAGTCTCCAAGATTTGACATTTGGTTTTTGCTTCAACCAGAGTTTGCAAGGTGTCATTCTACCCAATGGCCTTGAGAAGTTGAGCTTTGGTGATAGGTTTGACCAATTGCAAAGTGTGACTTGGCCTGCCAGCCTCCGCACTTTGAGAATCGGCGGTGATTTGCATCAAGTAACCCAGCCTGCTGCACGGGACAATCAATTTCAGGAGAGCTTGAGAGCTGTGACTTGGCCAAGCAACCTCCAGACGTTGAATTTTGGTGAGCAATTCAATCAGAGTTTAGCTGGTGTGACTTGGCCGGACAGCCTCCAGAATTTGAATTTTGGTGAGCAATTCAATCAGAGCTTGGCTGGTGTGATTTGGCCAGGCAGCCTCCAGACTTTGACTTTTGGTGACAAATTCAATCAGAGTTTGGCTGGTGTGATTTGGCCAGGCAGCCTCCAGACTTTGATTTTTGGTCAGCAATTCGATCAGAGTTTGGCTGGTGTGGTTTGGCCGGGCAGCCTCCACACTTTGACATTTGGCATGCGATTCAATCAGAGTTTGGCTGGTGTGGTCTGGCCAGGCAGCCTGCAGAATCTGGCCTTTGCGGCTTGTTTCAATCAGAGTTTGGAAAGTGTGACATGGCCATCCCATCTCCGCAGCCTTACTTTTGGCACGTGGTTCAACCAGAGGCTGCAGGGTGTGGATTGGCCCTGCAGCCTCCAGACTCTCTCTTTTGGCGAGAATTTCAACCAAAGTTTGGAAGGTGTGATTTTGCCAGACAGTCTTGAGACTTTGGTCTTTGGCCTACAATTCAATCAGAGTTTGGAAGGTGTAACTTGGCCTGAGAGCCTTGAGAATTTGACCTTCGGCTATTTCTTCCAGCAGCGGCTGGATTGTGTGTCTTGGCCCAGCAAGCTCCAGAATCTACAATTTGCCAGAGTCCACGCAGGCGCGCCTTTTCCCCAGAGCCTCAAAAGCTTGCGCGTCGGACGTTTGAAGTTGAGTTTGCTTTGAAGCCGTCGAAAAAGCTGCGCAAAAACATGAGCTGCTTTGGCTTTCAGTGCTGTGGAAATCGTTGGAGCTTTTTGGGACGACTCACTTAACGCACAGCAACATGACGAGTTCATGCCACTAGAGGGGCTAGACATGGAAGTGTGCCCAACAACATCCAACGAGCCCAGCGATTCGAAGTGAGGTGAGGTGATGAGGTTCAACTTGGCCTGCAAGAGCTTGATTTGTTTTTGGAAGGTTGAGACTGCTTACATCCGGCATCCCAATTCGATTTCAGTTTCATGGTCTCATGTGGACGTTCTTCTCATGGGAAAACACCTTGGTTGCAAGTTGCAAGTATAGAGCTGTCGTTTTTACAGATGCACTTTCAAGGACCAAAGTAAGCAAATGTCAGAGATAAACTAACTTTTGTCTATTTCATCCGCTCTCATGTTCCATACGCGAGGTCGCCGTCGTTTGCGCTGGCCTTTATTACTGGCACAAGGCAGGCAACTTTGCCAGCTGACAGTTGCAGACAACAACCAGTTGGGTAGGTCTTTGGTGTAGCCCAGAATTGACGCAGTTGGGGCGGTGCTGAAGGAAGAAAGCGGTTTATCCCGAAGAAGATCGATAAATCATGAGAACGATACTTCCTTTAGTTAAGCGCTTCCCCGACACTCCATGTATGGAATATATGCCTACATTGACACCCCCAAACCACCCCAATGTATAGGTAAAAATGCAATCATATACATTAAAAAGGTTTGGGCATGTGTCCTTCTACCATCTCGGAATCAGACCTGTCACCTGCATATTTCTCACGTATATACCATTTGACGTGTGGAGACCGTCGCGAGGATAGAGCATTGAGCGTCCAATTCGAGAGTAGGCCGCCCAGTGTGCAAAAAAGCACAGTTCTATAAGGTTCCAAATTCAGAAAGGCCTCAAACCACAACTCATAATGTTAATTTGGACTTAGGTGTTACTAGTACCTGTGTTAAGTCGTTTGGTCTTGTAGAAAGTCGTCTGAATGCTGCGTTTACAATGGGGTTTACAATGTATCAATCTAGCCAGACCGCTGACTGTTGGAACCGCCGACTCATTCAAATCCATTTGAGCCGGGTCAGAGCAAGTAGAAAAGATTCGTGTAGTCTCAGCATGCTGCATCTATGTTTGTAGGCTAATCTTGCGTTCTGATTGGGGTTCGGACACCAAAACGCTGCAAACTTCGACATAAAACTAGTTCTTTCCTGCACAGGGGCAGTGAATTCTTGATGTATAGCAGTTTTGACAAACATATTCAATAGAGCACTTATATTGTGTTTTAACATAAAACGGGTGACTTTTCGCGAGCCGGGTGACTTTTGACTAATGCTGCGTTTACATGCGGCCGGGTGACTTTCTGCAAACCCGGGTGACTAAACCCCAGCGCTTGTAAACTAATACCCACAACCATTTTGGTGCGACCCCTTTTGGGGGGGCATCCGCCTGAACAAAAAAGACTCAAACAAAAACGGTCCAGTTCCTTTGATATGTTATAGTTTCTTGAGTCCCATCTTGGATCGATTAATTGATCATCCCACCATTAGGGGTTTGAGGATGATTTGCACGCAGATACCAGGCCAATCAGGTAGACCTCAGGCTGCTCCCACCTCCCATTTTCACAGGACGTCCCGGCGCAGCTGAGCGCTCCGGTCCCGATCCGGTCCTGACCTCGGATGCCTTCGGTGCTCAAAAGTGAGAGCGGTTCCGCGGCGGTTGGGAGGGCGGATGGAGGTTACAAAAGAGCGTTTAGAGCACACAAGGTTACACTTATAAAAAGAGGTGAGCTAAATGCAGTGAAGTCTCTGAGTTGGTTTTTGATAAGTATCCTAAAATGAAGCGTGCACGCAGGATCAAGATATAATCACTTGCTGGCCGCCAAAACAACCGACTCCTCCTTGGATATGGTTCTATGCCTTAGTATCACCCATAGATTCTGCCGTAGATCATTTGAGTTTTATGAAATTTATGAACTATTTATGAACTATTACTCCTCTATCCATCTGGTAATGAACTAACTATAGTTAATATTCACTACTATTCATAGAACTAAACTGTTCCTCATTTGAGTTACTATTACTCCACTGTCTCAGATGTTCGGGCTCGAGATCCGGTCTCCGGTCGATGTGGAGTGGCAGAACGGCAGAACGCAGAAACACGGCTCCGTGGTTTCCGCGTAGCGGATCACAGCGCGACGCGTAGCGGATCACAGTGCTTTGCTGCAAAGTGTTTTCAGGAGATCATGTTTCAGTTGCAGCCAAGACCGCAGCACGAGCCATCCACGAGCCATCCACAGACAAAAGATCCGGACACCGCCTACCGCCGCTCCTTCTCCGGGATCGCCATGTCTCAGCACCTCGGCCGTTTGGGGCGCCGGGGTGGGGCCCTTGGGGGAGGGCTGAGCGACGAAGTGGAAGGCCCAGCGGTGCACCGGACCTCGGAAAGGCAGAGATCTTTCCCAGACACGACACGTCTGGGACTGCCAGGACGGACTTCCGATCAGTTGGGGTGGTGTTTTGGGGGGTCAATTGATCAGTCCGACATGGCAGTCCCAGACGTGTCGTGATGTGTAGATCTCAAGTTCTTCATGTGGCCCAAAAGAGAGAGAGCAACCTGGTCTCAGAACGCCCCAAGTGCATCGGTTTCGACGTCCGGACCCAAGGGGGCGACCCAATTGAGTCGGGGCCGACCGTGAGGACAAGGAGGAGGACCGGACAAGGACAAGGAGGATAAGGAGAAACCATTCATTCTGGTGCTTGTTTGTTTCATGTTGTTTTTTTTTTGGGGGGGGGGACGCTGCCAGGTGGGGCAAGACTCGAGTTCTTTTCGGCTCTGCAGCTTGTTGATGTATGTCGCAAACAGATTACCTGAACTTCTAGCTTTTGGCCCAACGAACGGCACCGCAGCCCCCTTCCGTCACACCGACCTCGCAATCTTCGAGAACCAGGGTCTTCTTTTGTCCCTTCTCGACCTGAAATGACTTCCAGGAAGGTGAAGTACAATGGCACCATCTTCGAGCGGCGGCATTTAGCCGCGGCCCAGATGGCCAAGGAGACGTTGACGGACGCGCGGAGGCTCCGTGGTCCCAGTAGACCTGAGCTTTGCCCATCCCGTTGTTCGACACGGGGAGTTGCTAGACCAAGTTAGATGTTTTTTTTGTTTTGCCAGTTTGGGTATGCTGTCATTTAGTGCGGTTGAAAGGTGTTAGAACTGAATGGTTTGGCCATGGAAAATGGATGCCTTCTATACGGCTTAGCAGGTATGACATCACCTTTTATAGCCGTCAGCTTGCGGCTTGGCCTCTGACCTCCTAACGGATTGATTTGATTGGTTGAATTGTCACACAAATCTTATTTTATACCCCATGAGAGTGATGTGATGTGACGCGATAAACATGAGTGATGGACAAAAATAACCTTTTGCTAGTGAACATGATGCTTCCAGCTAGTAAACACTAGTAAACATGATGCTTCCAGCTAGTAAACATTTGCATGCTTCCAGATCTTCATTTCTCATTTGATCCGCAGCTTGCTTCTCAAACCTGGCAGGACATGCTCTCCCTCGGCGATCCTCTCATGCGCAGGTGCGCTCCGTTTTTTTCGCGACGTGGCGAGGCCCCGGAGACGTGGCGAGGCCCACGAGACGTGGCGAGGCCCTGGAGACGGAGCCCAAGCAGGAGCTGGACCAGCTTGCTTCATAAGCAGATGTTGTTTTTGTCCTGCAGCCACTGGCTCCAGACGATGTTGCTTTACTGGGTGACACACACCATTTCTGGATGTTGATTGGATTGGTTGTTTGGTTGAAGCAGACCATCATTCATTCTCGTTGTTAGTTCATGTTGGTTCAACATGTTTCAACCCTTGGTGTTGCTGGTTTGAGTGCTTTGCATGTGTGGCATTGGTGCAACCCTTGGTGGCTCTTTAAAGATCTTTAAAGAACAAAGCCCCAGGGTCTCACGCAGGACATGCAGCACATCGTGCTCTTCCCGTCGCCTTCCGGTCCTAGTGGATTGTTCATCAGGTCCTCACCTAGAGGTCTCTGCGATAAGTACCGGCATCGACGACCTACTTTGGAGTGGTTGGTTTCAGGCGTCAACTGATCGGCATATCTATTCATAATGGGTTCAGAGTTCAGACATGTTTAGACCTTGTTATATCTTAGTGTTATTCTTTCTGTCTTTATTTTGTTATTTCTTTCTTTAGACCTGTTGTTTCTTTTCTGTCGTTTTTGTTTATTATTTGTTTAAGACTTGTTCTTTCTTTCTACCTTATAGATCGTTTCGATCTTTTCATTGGAGAGGTTGGTTTCACATGGAGTGTTTAGGTCACATGTGTCCACCCTGTTTGGACTGGAAAATAAAGACAAATCACCTGGGTGGCAACCCAGAGGCAAGAGTTCGGCGTTGGCCGAACTAGACTTGGCCATACTTGGGCCTATTGTTCCTGTGCCGTGCAGCAAGAATGGCCATGCCGGTTGTCACAGTTAATTATGTTAGAGACCTACTAGCTACCACTTCTGGTGGTATATGGTTGGATTGTCGACCCTATTGCAAGACTATCCCCATCTATTGCCTAGATAGGAAATGAAGCTTGCAGAAATCAAGCCGTCACGAGCGCCAACAGGTTGGCGACGGGAGCCTTGAGTCATCTTGGCCAAGGTGAAGCCCTGAGACATTGCCAGGACCGAATCCGTCGAGTCGTTGCCAGGACGGTTTGTGTGGATTGCGGTGGAAAGGGGTGTTGTTTCTTTGTTGCTTGCTTTTGTTTGCTTTTCATTAGCTTGCAAGTGTATGCCACTGGACCAGAAGTCATTTTTGGCCGGCCTATTCTTGTCGTTTTTGGATGGTGCTGTAGTTTGTAGATGACCATCCAGACAGGGAGGAATTGCTTGACTTTCGATTGTTGTTGTTTGCCCCAAGTCATGCGGTTCGCTCCTCCCAAGCAAACGTTCTCGATAGGTTGGAGGTCATCGCTCTTAGGAGAGGGAGCGGGCTTAAACCAAAAATATAGATATTAATAATACTGCTAGGAAGTGCATGTGTCCCTTTTCCGAATCATCCCACCGGTGGCAACCGATTGAGTCCAAAAACGGTCGAGACGGTCTTCCATTCAAAAAGCTTCAGAGGGATGTTCATTTGCTGCTCAAGCATTTTGTCATAGCGAAGTTACCAACCATTGGATGTTCATTTCTACCATTGGATGTAGCTTTTGAGCAGCGAAAAACCTGTGCCATTCTCTTGAGTAGTGTTGTCTCTCCCAAATTCCACTTTGATGCTGCGAACTGTTCCACACCTTGGTGGACCACGTAGCTCAGCACCCTCCAACAGGTTGGACCCTTTATTTCAGGTCTCAATTGGTCTCAATTCTACGTGGTCAGCTGATCCCGGTCCGCTGGTCCCCGGTCACCGGTTCGGCGCGAGCAAAGCGGCACGGATGCACTAGGACTTTGTTTCGGCTCTAAAGGCAGGTGTCGGGGGAAGCGGCACGTGTGGATGGGGCGGTGGGGTGGATGGTGGGAACGGAGAGATCTGCGAGTCACAGGAGTCACAGAGCTCGGGTTGCCGAACTTGGAGGATAGGAGTGCAGAATATTCACTCGCTGGATGGGACTAAAAACCACCCCTTTGTGCCCAGTATCCTTATACACACCGTTTGTGACTCCTTTGTAGACTCTTGATTGACCCCCCCATATGAAGAGGTGACTTTGCTTGCCCACCCTGACGATAATTAGATGCTTTTACAATCTTGGAACCTGCATTCCAAAATTAGTCGTGCAATTGTGAAGCTCTTGGACATATACACTTTGCCTTGGTCTGTGCACTTTCGGTTTCACTTTTCTAGGAGTCCTTAGCGATCACTTCACAGGTCATTTATCACCAAGACCCACCCGCACCCACTCCAATACGGGGGAAACCAGCCGGGACGGGGACGGCTGGGCGGTGGTCTCTCGAGCTCTTCGCCTGCCGAGCTGAAGCAGACGGACGCATTTGAGCGCTATAGGCGACATGAATCGAGGAGGAAAGCTCTATGAGGGAGGTGTTTTGGGGAGGGAACCGGGAAGCCCTTGGTTTTGGAGGGCTTGAGACATGAAGGATTGGACCCCCCAAACTGGGTCGGCCCCTCGACACGCCAGTTTCAGCCGGAGGGTCTTGAGGGCCGAGGGTCTTGAGGGTCTTGAAGAGATGGTTGTTCGTTTGGTTTAGGAATCGGCACCCTGTTTAGAGTCTTCAAAAGCTTCTATTAGCTTGGTTGAGTGGGGTGGCGGGTGGTATCATGTTTGATATCTACCCAGAGAAGCAGATACTCTCGCCCTTTGCACACCCTTGGGTGGAGGAACCTCGTCGCTATTCTCTGACTTTTTTCCTCCAGAGTCGATATGCTCGGTCGCCGACTCGCTGTGCCATACACGGGCAGGATCAAGATCGAGGAGTGCGATATTGCGTCACCTGGCAGCGTAAGATGTGGGAGATAAGATCTTCATCGATGTGTCGTAAAGAAAGAGGCCAACCTTGTGTTGCGACTTCTTTCCTCTCGTTTGTTCAGGTCAAAGACATCATTGCCGATGTTTTCCTCTCCAATGACATGACCAAGTCATGACCAATCAAATCATGCCCAACTGCGATGAAGCTGGCTCTTTGTCATAGGAGGATCTTTGGTCCCAAGTTTTGGGTGGGCGGCTAGGTCTCACCGCCGTGCGGATAGAGGGAAATGACCCGCACGCTTTTAGGACGACGCAAGTGACGCGTTTTTCCCGAACCACCCCGCGGGCGTTCGAAGGCAGTGCGACGAGACAAAGAACGGGTGGAGGGTGCGGACCGAGGCCGATGGCCGAAGAACAGAAGCGTATGGACATATGATGAATTAAACATATAAGCAGGAGTTCTGAGGCAAGAACGGGCCAAAAGACCATGGCCCCTCAGTCATATATTGTCGACGATAAATATATGGTCCCATATGGATCCATATGGTCAATTACATCCTGGTAGGTCACCAGGGTTGGTTTGGAGGCCGGGGGTTTGGGGGTCGGACGGGGTTGGAGGTCTGAACATGTTGGTTCCGACGGAGTTCAGCGATCCCAATGCTCAGGCGGTGGTCTACTTGGCCTTCGCCCGAAGCTTCTCAGGTGAGCGGGAAATCGAGTTCAGCCGCTGGACGTTTGATGGGAGCTTTGAAGGTTGCGTGGCCTTGATAAGTCTCGAGAAACCGAGGATGCCAACGTCCTGGTGATTCATGAAGTCTAAATATAAGAGTTCATCAAACTACCAACCAACCAATGGCTTTCATGTTGGGCTGCAGACTGCTATCGACTTGCATTTCAGATGTTGATTGCATGAGTCAAGGCACTGTTTTGGGCTTTTGCATCGCAGTCAGACGGTGCAACCAACCGGGTGAACCATATCCAACCTGCTGTGGTTTCTCCTTGCTATTTCTTCTTGAAATCCCTCCCTACAAGTCCACAGACCCAGTAAAACCTGGTCCTTTACCTCATTGAGTTGTGTTTTGTTTGTATCAACTCCAGTAAATGATGTCTTTTACCTGGAGGGCTTATGTGTGTATTTAGCAACATAACATGTACATGTTTCAACCTGTGTGTTTCATGGCCACGAGCAACGTGGACTTCTTCCCCCGAACGAATCAAGCCAATGACGACCACATGACGACGCTTCAGTGATTTGCTTTGCCTTCATGTGGTAGCTCATTTTCCCATTTCAAAGATGCAGTCGCAGTGGCACTTTGCATAGGATCCCCACAAAGGCCGGCACCAGGCTCTCCGGGGCGGAGTCCCGCAGCCATGGAGGACGCCAGTGGTCTGTCGCCGCTCGTGAAGCTTCAGATGATCGGTTCCTTGGTCCGGAGTTCACTGTGTCGGACGTGTAGGACTATCGATGTGGGACAACAAGGGGCTGCTTAGCAGAGCTAGGCTCTGTGAAACCATGTGTGACAGCGTGTTCTTTCTCACTCGACTCGCTATAGCTGTGCTTGGGCAACAGGCTTTTGGAGTAACCTGTGTGGACTGTCCAGGTTTAGATGGCTCGGAGTTTGAGATGAACGTGCCGAACTGGATCACTGCCGGCGAGCTCTGGCCGAAAGTGATTTGCTGTGCTTTTCGTTTCGGATCTAAGACCCCACAAACAGAATCATGACAGCGGTCGGAATCTCCTAATAACAAGTGCCTTACTAGTAGTAACAAGTGCCTTACTAGTAGTAACAAGAAGCTAGTAGAAACAAGAATTAGAATTAAATTAATTTCCAGTGCAATTGGGAATCGTCAAAGGGCCGAGATGACTGCAGCCTCTGAGGACCTTTGCGACCAAATCTTTGACCATATCTCGATCGCGCCGCAGCACCGACGGATGGCTTTGCAACATGGAACGACACTTCTTGACCTGGACCGCAGCCTGAAGGAGAAACCCCCATGAAAGCGCGGATCACCTGCTTTTACCGTTTTTCGGGAATTGGTGGACGCCCCAATAGAAGAGGATGGCCAACCCAGGAAAAGTGGTTAACCATGATTTATGTAAACTGCAAGGCTTTATTGGGGGGAGGGTTTTCCGCACAAATCCTTCCCGTGGACAGTTTCGTAAAGCTTTCTTTTCCAACCATCTCCGGTGGCTGAGAGGGTCCGGAAGAAGCACCCCAAACACCCGGTCCGCTGCGCAGAAAAACGCATGGCACTCCATGGAAAGTGTCCTTCAGCCGGTGTGACTCCATGTGATGTCTCCACTCTCCAGACCTTGGAAACTCCCACCATTGGTCTACCGAACACTGGTGCGTTCGAAGAATAAAACCGTCCAACTGTAATGATGGGAGTTTGTTTGAGTGTTTCTTAGTGGCATCCGTAGCTATAAATTAGCTTAGAATAGTCCAATATACAGTATAATTGTTTTCGGGTGTTTTCCTCGAGACACCGCGAGGCGAATATTTTTTCCGGTTTTAGTGTTCGTGTCACTGTGGGGGAACAAAGCTTGCGAAGTGGGTACCAAGCTTTTCACTCCAGCCAAATGCAACCTTCGAGGCCTTGTCGTGTTGTCACAGAGGTCGTAAGTGCGAAGTGGGTGGGGACCAGCAATGTGCTTGCCATCAGACGAATCAGCTTTGATGTTTAGAAACCCTGAAGGATCAAGGTCTGCAGGAGAACTCAGCATTATCCTATGTCTTCATCGCTCCTAGCCTGAAGGAGGCCTTAGAAGCTCTCACAGGAAGCTCTGGTGATCCCCATGCTCTCGTGGGACTTACGACACTGCGAGGCGTGGCCCTCGATCACTTGAAGTTCCTTCCGAAGAGCCTCAAGAGTCTAACCTTTCGATCTGATTTCAACTCGGGTCTCGAAACGAGAGTTCCGAGCCTTCAGAGCTTAACTTTTGGATCTCACTTCAACCAAAGTTTGGCCGGAGTCTCTTTGCCAAGCAAACTGCGGGATTTGAGCTTTGGTTCAGATTTCAACCAGACTTTGGTGGGGCTGGACTGGCCAAGTGGCCTTGAACACCTTAGATTTGGCACAGAATTAACCAGAATTTGGCAGGAGTGCATTGGCCGGCCAGCCTTCGAACTTTGACGTTTGGTGACAAATTCGACCAACCTTTGACCGGAGTGACTTGGCCCTGCAGCTTGCGCAGTCTGACATTTGGTCATGATTTTAACCAAAGCTTGGCAGGAGTTGTTTGGCCACGCTGCCTTGAGAGTTTGACGCTTGGCGATGGGTTCAATCAGAGCTTGAAAAACGTGGTTTTCCCGAGCAGATTGCTTTCTTTGACGTTTGGAGATTGCTTCAACCAGAGCTTGTTGGCAACCACTTTGCCACGCAGCCTTCAAAGCTTGGCTTTGGGCTCAGGCGGCCGTTCAGGCTTCAATCAAAGTTTCGCAGCAGTGGCTGGGCTGAAGAGGCTACAGCGTTTGACGCTTCAGGGTGCTTTGAAAGAGAACGGGGAAGACGTAGCTTTGCCAAGCAACCTTCACAGCCTGATTCTTGGGTATCATTTCAAAAGTTTATCTGGAATTAATTTGCCACGCGGCCTTTTGAGTCTGTTGCTGGGCTTTAACCAGAGTTTGTTGGGAGTTGCATTGCCGTGCAGCCTTCAAACTTTGACCTTTGGTTGGGCATTCAACCAGACTCTGGTGGGAACGACTTTGCCAAGCAGCCTTCGGACTCTGACGTTTGGCTATTGCTTTAACCAGAGCTTGGTGGGAGTGGTTTTCCCTAGCCGCCTTCAGAGTTTGACCTTTGGATCCCATTTCAATCAAAGTTTGGATGGAGCCGTTTTGCCGAGCAGCTTGCAGCGTTTGACTTTTGGTTTGGATTTTAATCAGACTGTGAGTGGAGTGGCTTTGCCCAGCAGCCTGCGTTCTTTGACCTTCGATTTTGCATTCAACCAGAGTTTGGCAGAGGTGGCTTGGCCAAGCAGCCTACAGCGTTTGACGCTTGGGAGTCGTTTCAACAAGAGTTTGAAAGACGTCGCCTTACCAAGCAACCTGCAGCGCTTGAGGTTGGGTGACAACTTTAATCAGACTTTGGCGGGAGTGCTTTTGCCACGGGATTTGCGTAGCTTGAAGTTTGGTGCAGAATTCAACCAGAATTTGAAGGGATTGGTCTTTCCGAACCTTCAGAGCCTCACGTTTGGTTGGTCCTTTAACCAGAGTTTGCTGGGAATAGCTTTGCCCAACAGCCTTGAAAGTTTGACCTTTGGCTCCGAATTCAATCAGAGTTTGGCCGGAGTGGTCTTGCCCGGCAGCCTTCAGTCTTTGACCTTTGGCGATGGGTTCAAGCAGAGTTTGGCTGAAGTCGCGTTGCCTAGCAGTTTGAGATGTGTGCGTTGGGGCGAGCTCTCCTTGAGCACCGTTTAGACAGTGTCAGAGTGGCGATCAGCTTGCGACGCTTTGACCAGCTCCTGAGAAGCTCTCGAGACCAAAAGAATGCTGCATGATGCTGCATGGACGTCACTGTGCCTCATTCAGATTGCTGTTGTAGAAGTGAGCATCATCCTGGAGCCTCCCTGTGACCGAACGTGATCCCCCTGGTTTGAGGTCGATGGGACTTCAAAAAGGTCACTGGGAAGGTCCTGGATGGGACGCTTCTTTGATGTTTACACTCCATCATCACACAAACATCGCACTCCAGCATCTAAGAACTGCTGCGACCTCCAGATCTTGGGAGCGACAGCAATTTTGTGGTTGCTGCGGTTCCTTCTGGACCTTCTCAGGAGGTGTTTGGGTGGGTTTAGAGGGTCCAATCATACCTTCTGAGGAGGTATGACTGGAGCCCTAGGGAAGATGTTTATTCCATACCTGGACACTTCATGGGACTGGTATATCTTGCCGCCCCATTGACACTCCCCAAACCACCCTGGCCTGATCGGCATGACGTTTCCAGTGTTGTGGAGTTTTTGGGATATTCCCCATGAAAAAACAGGGAGCCGAGACTACTCGGAGCCAAGCCCACGGCGAGTTCACGGCTCCCTGGGAGCATTTGCTCCCTGAGGCTTCCAGCCCACCGGAAACTGGTAGTGGATCTGTTGGGGTTGGCGTTTTTTCGGTTGCAGTCCACTTGTGCCTCAACAGTTCGGTTCCGCTACGATACAGTGACAGGTCCCGAGCGTCGCGTCGCGTCGAAAAAGGCATATAAAACAACTACATTCGACCGACAGGTCTCCATTCGACCGACCGGTCCCTGACGTCAGGGACCGTCGTTTCCTTTCTTTGACCGGTCCCTGACGTCCACGTGAGATGTGAATCGGGGCGGCGTATACGGCTCCTACGGTCAGAAAAAGCTAACTAGTTTGGTGCAATTCTCAGGGAGTGACCCAATTCATGAGGATTGTTTTCATGGTCTCCTGGGTTAGTAGCTAGGATTAGGTAACTAGGACTGGCGATTGACTGCTGATGCTGATGCTGTGATGGTGATTGCTTGCTTGTGATGAACGTGGTAATGAGGACCAGGTCGGTGCACCCAATTCGGCTGGATCCGCCCCGAGCCAGGTCGGGCCAGGTCGGTGCACCGAGGGCAACGAAGTATTAGCTTGAGTGCTCCAAGCTAAGAATTGATTTATACTCCCTATGGATCCACATACCGAACCTGAGGTACGGTGATTGGAGACTATTTATGTAGGCGCCAGGAGGGTCCAGTCTTACCTTCTGAGAAGGTATGTGGATCCATAGGGACTATAAATCAACAAGCCACCACCCAGTTTGGGCTAGTTTTTGTTCGTGGTAGACAGTTGTTGATAGCTTTTGTCCGGCCTTCCAGGTCATGTTCATTGTTCATCCAAGCACCCGAACTGAGTGGTGCTCGTTGTCAGTTCATCTCAGCTGGTTCCTTTGTACAAGCTTAGTACAAGCTTAGATAAAGCGGCTTCTTCATATCAGCCGTTCAAAACATGGTGTTGTTATCCTTCTACCCTAGATATGAGCTTGGAACCTGGTTCATCTTGACTCCTTAAGATGAAGCGTTTGACACAACAGATGGCGTAATTACTCCACGGTCACGGTCGGAGTTCTCACTGGACTTAGTCGGCGCTTTCGCTTGCGGCGAGGGCCCTCTCCAGTGCAAGAGCATACGGCGGAAGTGGCAGAGCTCTTGAAGGTGGGATCGAAACGCTCCCTTGGGGCAGGTGAATCAACTCCACACTCTTGAAGCGTTGAACCAATTGAAACATACATGTTCATATTTTTTTTGGGGGGTGGGTTGTAGTTTTAAGACGTGGTCGTTTTTAATGTCGTGACACGCTTTGAGAGGAGTGAAACTGTCACCAATGATTTCTGTGTGTTGCTTGCAATTTCATCCAAGAACAAGAGGGGAGAAGGGGTCAGAATCATGGCTGGTGGATTGCTTTGCTTCACCTTTCTTCAGGATGAAGATCCAGGCATTCGCTATTGGGCGCTGGAGGCCGAAATTCGGCGTTTCACCGAAGACGGCGTCGTGCCAGCCGCACTTCTTAGGCCGAAGACATGTTCAAGCCGGTGCTTTTTCTACAAGGATTATGTTCCAGAATTCGGTCATGTTCTAAAGGTCTCCGCAAGGCCAACCACTTTTGGAGTTCGGAATATGGTGGAATTGGTTGTTGGGACCAGGTGTGAATGGCCTCCAAGGTCATTTCATGAGTCAGTGAAAGTTCTGTCATTTTGCACAGTTTCAATCGCCTCAAACACGGCCCGGGCCCTGCCATTTGTGTTCCATGTTTGATCGTGTTTGCCGGGGAGAGGGGAGAGGAGCGAGAGAGGGAGAGAGGTATATGAGAGAGAGTGTGAGAGAGTGGGGGAGGCAGAAACGGAGAAAATAATCGCGCTCGAGACTCGACTCTGTCTTCTTCTCCCAAAACGGAACAAGGGATCGCAGGTCCAGAGTCCAGATGGCCAGTCAGTCTTTGATCAGCCTTGATGAAGGTGCATTAAGAGAAAGGGACTCTCCAATCCACTGATGTTTGTTCACTACTGTCGAGGTTCCATAAATCCAACATCATCCAACTGTCCTCTCTCAGAGTTACTGTATAGATCTGTATAGACTGTATATATATATATTTGTATAGCGAGTGTTAGTTCCAGGCACTCATTGATCAGGAATCTCCACTCAACCATCGACAGTTCCGAACTTCCCCACTGATCTCGCTGCTCCTCGATCCGACTGGTCCGGTGAAGCATCGACCGGTCCGGTGCCTCACATGGGCAGACCTTGGCGAACCAGGGCTTTGCCAGTCAGCCGCAAGCGCAGCAGCTCCTGGCCGCCTTGGAGGAGACGACGCCTCCGCGTCCGCGTCCGCGTCCGCGTCCGGCGACGAGCTCCTCTCCGTGACACCAAAGGCGGTCGGGTGCGGACCGGGTCTGATGGTTGGAAGAAACGGAAGAAGATTGGACGAAATGCTGGCCGATCTTCCCTGACCAGTTGCCATGACATTTTTTGTCCAGAAGCAGTGGGGCACAGAGAGCGTCCCGGAAGATGAGTGATAGTCCAGTACTATACTGTACTGCTGCATGGATAAGATTAAATCCATAAAGATCTTGCACAACACGTATTAAGACTTCTGAATCGTCCGCTTCATTCTCAGGAGGAGTGTGTTTCCCACCGGTGTTCCCCACCGGAGAGCTGGACCGAAACCTGGACTCTTTGAATCTGTTTCCATCCGCTCCACCCTCATATATCACCTTATTTTAACATCCCAAACACTCCATGTATGGCACATTTACCTACATTGACCCCCCAAACCACCCCTTTATATATTATAAACATGACATAACGTGGAGTGTCTGGACATCACCCTTTGCCAGTCCCTGACAGCCCCCAAAAACATCTCCTATCACCAACCAGAGTGATCAGCCCGCCCTCCATTCGGTCCGTCGGTCCCCGGACCGAACTCGCCGTCAGGACATCGACCCCCACTGCCGCTTAGCAGCCGCCAAGGCCGTTGCCAAGGTCACCCCGGACGATCTGCCGCAGGCGCCCCAGCACCGTGCCGTTTCGCACGGTCCGGCGGCCACACCGGTGGTTCGGCGCAAGGTTGGCGGAATTTTGGTGCTTGAAGAGTGTTCTTTTTTCTCAAAATGATAGAATCTGTTGGGGGGGTGGGTTGCTCTTCTCATGTTTATCGACTTGTCAGTTTTGATGAACCGTGTATCATTCTTCTCAGTTTTGATCTTCATCGAATTGTTGTTTGTTGTTCAGTGTTTGGGTGATTCGAATACTGCAGGCCGATGGGCCGATTCATAGGGCCGGAAGGACCGAATGGATGGTCCCATGCGCATGAGACATGGGTGAAGAACCGAAGAACCGAGCCGTTGGACGAAGGATTTGACATAAAACCAGGTCAACCAGGTAAAACAGAACCTTTACTGTCTACAAAACTCAGAACAAAAACATACAAAACCCTCGGATATGTTTGGGCTGGAGAAATATATAGGAAAAAAAATCAATTGAAATAAATAATCATGATTGTGTGTTAATGGGCTACGTTGGGTTATATATGAAACCAAATAGCTTTTATGCACTTATAGGCTATTATATATTTGGATGAGGAACCATCAGCCATTTGCTCTGACATCACTGTAGTTTGACAGCATAGATCCAGCTTGAGGTATTCTCTCACCTACTTGTACCAGCAATATAACAATCGCTGTTTCATCAAAGGCCGCTGCTGTTCTGCTCTCTGTCAACTCGACTGTTGCTGGGTGTGAGATGGCGTGGGTAATATAATTGTATGTAATATACGCCCTAAGATCTGGGTTGTCAACTGGCACTGGTGAACGTGACATTCTGACCTTCCTTCCTTTCTGCCTACATGGCCCTGTAGTCCTCAAAGACTACCGGGATGGGGCTGCACGGGATTGGTGTGTGTGTGTGTGTCGTTTGCTTTTCTTTCTCACCGGCTCCGAGTGGGGGCCGTGCCGGATGAGGTACAAGATATACGTAGTTGAACCTCATAAAACATAATTTAAACAAGTAAATAAACCGCATATTTCCTCCATGAAATCAACAAGCCAACAGGAAAAGGCCCTCCATGCAATGTCCTGCTTTGAAATGGCTTTCTGGTCCCCACCATCGTCCCGCCACTTTGATGATTTCATTTTTATCAGAGTTATAATACGAGTTCATACAACTGGGAGACCCGGAGTAGGAGATAGCGCCCAAGTTTGGGATGCTTTGGGTGGCAATTTGCGCCCACCTAGTTGATCACTTGGGTCCCTAGAAGAGGCCCCACCATTTTCATGACGGGGCACCACTTGCGACAGCAACCACTTCCATGCACCTGTGGGACAGGGTATTTACGTGTGGCGCAGGGCTACCTGTGGCTTTCCCAGACGCTCCATGGTGTGATTTATTGGTGAATGTAGGCCATATGTTCATATACATCATAGAGTCTTAGAGCGTTTGGGTGTATGATGGATCCCGAGAGAGACTGAGAGACCACAGAACTGCA